GAGGGAGGGAGGGAGGGGCTGCGGGAGGGGTCGCACGTTATCCCCCACCCACCCGGACCGTGACCCGGGACCGCTACCGGGAGATAACGGCGCGTCCGGCCCAGCGCACACCGCGTCGAGGGACGCGGGCTCATGTCCCCATCCCCATCCCGGCTCCAGGGAGATGCCCGCGCAGGCTCTGCCCGCCATACAGCCGCCAGGGAGTACCGCGTTTTCCCCCCAAAACACAACGCTTACGCACACAACAAACTGCTCAAACGGTTCCTACTGTCCACCACGGCCGCTCCTCTCCCGCTGGAGAGCCTAAACCACAAACGGGCCCCTAAAACCTTCACCACCCTCCAGTTATCTCTATTGCCTGCAATTTGTCACACATTTAAGTTTATAGAATTCCTAAATCTTACAATGTAATTTGCAGAAAAGTTGCTTTATATTGAAAGTAATCTTTTGCTAAATATACAGATACTCTACTAAGTGTCTTAGCAGAAATAAATGGAGCAAAAAATTAATATAAAAATCAGTGCACAGCACAAAATTTAACACTTGAGAGGTTCCACGGGGAGGGGGGAAGGCAGCCGGGTGAATTTTCACAAGTCCTGAAGACGATTGGCACTGGGATGGCAGGAAGAGGGTATCAAACAGGACCAACTTTGCATGGTACTGCAAGAATTTACAACTGCAAGAACTTACAACTGCCCCATGGGCAGAGGAGGCAAAAAAGCAGGGAGCTTTGGGGAAAAGAGTGCAAGCACCTAGCTAAGCCACCACCAGTTTATGCCAGAGCTTAAAACTGGGAACAGTTTTAAAAGTCAGAGGGAGAACACCTTGGTGACAGGAACATCAGTCTTGATACCCTTGACCTGCATTCAAGTTTCTACAAGATCCATCCCACCCTTCACCAAAAACAAACAGAGCGCACAGTATGAATGACTGTGCACAGGGCAACACCCAGGAATTAATCTTTCTGCTTGTTACGAATAAAAAATGACAACCAAAAAAAGGCCTTTACCTCCCTGAAATCTCATGTGGCGTTACTGTGCTGTCTGCCATTCTCCACTTTAGCAATTACTGAAATGCAGTCATCTCTATCTTGATCCCTATGAGTTTATGCACTATAATACAATAAAAATAGTATAATTTTAAAATGTATTCTATTAAATACTGCACAAAGATATTTTAGCCAGTTTTGGCCAGCAGCAGTGCAAACAGAACACCTCAATGCATTTATAAGCAAGTTTATTTAGCTTTCTTATATTATATATATATATGAAATATACCCACAAGTTATTACAAAAGTGTCCAAACACAAGTTCTAGCACAGTACAGTAAAAAGTGGTAATTCTAGGAGGAATATCTGAGATCTACAGTATCTTGGCTTCAAGAGGAAATGCTTCCATTAGACATTGTAGGCAGAAGAGGACACACTTCCTCCATGGCCTGTCCAGTTAGTATGGATAAATACACCTGGCTTCGATAATAATTCATACGTATGTGCACCAAAGTAATCCCGCTGAGCCTAGAACAAGAACACACACACAAAAACCAGACACATGAATATCACAGTCATTTGAGTACTAAAAGTTGCACCTACTGATACTCGACTACAGGAATACTAGAAATAAGATCTGACTCCAATATTATAACATTCAAAGTTATTTTCCCCATTATTAGCAAAATCACCACAATGAAATATTTACTAATGTCTAGTAAATAAGAGTTCTGTAGCAAGACAAGTCTATTATTTCTGCTAGGTATTCATCTAAAAAAACAAGCACTTACATACATCCAAAGGTTCAAAGATACTTCTTCATAATGCATTTTGATTCAAAGCTATCATTAGCCTTGGTTTGTAGATGGAATACTAACACATGCTGGGCACTGTCATACCGGTATCTCTGGAGTTTTTTTATCCAGACATCTCATAGTATTCTGTTGTCGTGAATTTCAGGTTTAACAGAATTATATTAGGCAATCTGTGCTTTTACCTTTACAATGTTGAGTGGTTGGGACATGTCGCCATCATGGCCTTTAGACCAGTATTTAAACAGCATGATGGTATTTCAGTAGCCAGAAGATCTGCTACACTATTTCAGGCACCTACCTGAATCAGGTTAGCTGGTAATATTTCATGCCTGTATCCATCATAAAAAGAAAGTGCTGTCGTGAAGCAGGGCATAGGGATACCAATCTGTACTCCAGTACTGATCACTCGTCGCCAGGAGTCCTGGGAGAGAGGAAGGAGGGTAGAGGGGTGGGCAGAAAAAAAGAAACAAACAAATCAGTCCTTGCTCAGAGGTATATGCAGACACATGAACTACTCCAGTACAACAGCACATGCTATTTCATGTTATATGAAATCTAATGACCAAGTCTGAGCAAATGCAGCAGTAGATTCCTGATTTTACATAAACAAGGTTGATCCGAAACAATGGCAAGTAAGACAGAGTTAACAAACAGGACAACAGGAGTGCAGACATATACTTTACATGCAGTCAAACCACAGCCTTGAGGGAGGATGCTGTTCTTTCACATAATCAGTGCATCCCAAAAGCATGAACACAGTGGGGAACACACTGAGCAAACACTGAGGCACTTTCAGGACCTCTAATGGAGCACAGTACAAAGCCTGCCCAAGGGCATACGAGGTCAGCACAATACTTCAAACAGACACACGGATAATCCTCATTTCAACTCTACATCTGGTTTAGTAACCTGCATGGAATGTTCAGCTTCAGTTAAAAGAATTATTAATAATAATATATGATTTCTAATCCAGTTTTAGTTCTGCCTGTCAACTCTGTCCAAATCAGTACACTGTTTGGACAGACCTAGGTATAATGAATGGCAGGTCTGGAACATTGTTATTTTGGTGCTACTGTGAACAACGGTAATAGAGCAGAGCTTTATACACTGTACAACTGAAATCCAAGTGTGCAGTAGGCACAAGATACAGGGCAGCGATGAGAATGTTCACACAGGCCAGACGTTTTTTCCTGACATCATGGTGGCTCTGAATTGCTAGATTTCTGCCTAAGACTCTTTGGTAATAGTAAAATGGAAACCTCCAGTCTCTACTAGTAGCTTGGCTAGTATCAAAGAGAAGAACCATGACACAACAAGGACTACATACTTCTTTGCTCATATATTATCTTTAGGTTGGCATTACAAATGTACCTTGCAACGTTACACAAGACCTTAGTTCACTGCTTGATGTATCTGGATGCTGATTTACAAAGTAGTGCTTCAGTGATGCAACCCCCTTTTTTGTCTTCATTTAGAACTAACGTTCTCCAACTTTCTGATGAAATAGAGGCAAGAGGCATTTGTAGGCATTTTTTCAAGGACAGGTCACTAACCTCGGTGTCCAGCAAAATTCTAATTTGGACCTCAGTATAGACCACCTCATCACAGTAACTTTCTTGTTCAATTTCAACCAGCTCCAACTATGTAGGTTTTTTTCTGCCCTGGTCCTGCAAGACTGCTATGTTCTACTGAAGAACGGTATCTTGAAGCAATAGATGATGAATTCCTACACCCATATATTATGTGCGTACAGATACACACACAGTTCGAAAGAGCTTAAGGACTGTTTAGAGATCTTTGGGATTAAGGATGTAGTACAAATAGGTTTCAAGGATGTTCTCTACTTTTTCATTTTTCAGTCTAAATATACTCATGAAGGTATCTCCTGGGAAAAAAAGCTGAAGAAGTCCAGACTGTAAACTATTGTTTTAAAGCTCTTCCTTCCTTAGAAACTCACCTGACAGTTTTCAACAGCTGTCTTAAAGAAATTATCCAACAGCAAATTCTGGAGGTCGGGGTTTCGATCAAAAGCATCTTTGATTTTTCCCAGGAACACGCTAGACAGAACACATATAAACCAGGAATAAAATTTCACAGCTTCCAACAAAGGCCCAGAATCCAAAACTTACAATGCCAAAATTTGACTCAGCCAGACTCTGATTCCAAACATTGAGAATGATGCAAACAAAACAAGGACAGAAGAAAATCTGCAGCAGCTAAGCCACTGGAAAATTGACTTCATCTGGTAACCTTTAGTGTAGTCTATAGAAAAAGCCTCTCAGTATCTTATCAGCAGATAAACTCCATGGATTTTCCAAGAAAATCTCAAGGCTTGTCAGTCTAGCACCGCACAAATGAAATTGTCTGCTCTTCTCCCCTCAGCAACTTAATTACCTCCTCATCTTAATTACCTTCTGATGATGCAGCCTCCCCTCCACATCAGTGCAATGCCACCATAATTCAGTGTCCATCCAAACTCTTTGGCTGCTTGTCTCAGCAGCATGAAGCCTTGAGCATATGAGATAATCTTGGAAGCATACAGGGCCTAAAAAAACAAATTCACATATCAAGTGAAGTCCCACAAAGCTGAGTGAGAAACTTCACAGTCTACATGCTCTGTTTAGTCAACAGCTCATAAGGGTTGAGTACATTAGCCACATTCCAGCTATTTGAGAACCAAAATATCCCTCCCAATTCTTGGAAAGTTTGGTCTCTTCACAGAGGTAACAAGAGCTATTATCCCCATTACAAAGACAGCAGTGTTGAGGGATGAAAAAGTAAGCTCCTGTGCATGAATTATGACCTCTGCACCCCAGCTGTTTGTCACTGCCCACTGTAGCTTAGACTTGAATTCCTTCAGGCCTGTTCTTTGGTCAGGAAAGGAATCGGTCACACTACGCTTGGTGGACACCACTAGACAATGCACACTGGCATGGCTGAAAGCAGGAACCAATTGTCATGAAACGTAAATGCAAGAGCTCCTCACCATGGTTTACAACATCCAAAACCCGCTTTGATATGCAGCTTTACTACAGCACTCTGGCAAGCACAATGACTCACCTTGCGTATGTCCTCCAGAAAGGCCTTCTTGTTCCCACCGAATTGAGTCATTTTAGGTCCATCCAGTAGCTTACTGGCCTGTACTCTCTCATCCTTGAGGGAAGACAGGCACCGTGCAAACACAGCTTCACCTTTAAGTATGGTAGGAAAGGGCAGATAAATAGAAGGTTCAACATAACTGTAAAGGTCTGAGATGTTGTCCACAAGCACACAGTGAGAGCGCCACTGAGCGGTGAGCCCCATACATACTGAAACAGTCACACGGGAAGAGAGGTGTACAAATAAATTATTTCAACAGCATTACTGAGGGACCAAACTGCCAGTCA